AGGATAAATATGCAGGTGCAGGAGTTTGCTCCGATGAAAGTGGGCAAAAAGGAGGGCGTACTGCCCATATGAGCATCACCAAGTACGAATAATTAACCCGTGCACGTCAGAAATCAGCAGAACAACCCCACGACATGCAAAAGCTACATTTACATCAGGAGCCAAGGACTTTAACTGTCATATGAGTGGCAAAGGACAGTGTCAAAATCTAAATCCAGTTCTCTCTCATCCTTTGAAGTCTGTTTACCTCTACTGCCTCTAAAAGACATCTAAGCACAATCCAGTCCATTAAACTCAAAAACTACCGACGACAGAGCTCAGTCAAATCTCTACGTACTGAGTACCCACAACAATTACATAAGGCGGAAGCAGAAGGAACCAGACATGTGTTTGCTTGTCTGTTTTATTTCTAACAGGAAGAAAGAGAAAATAATGGAAATGAACTTGTCCTGTTCAACCCAGATCTGCTTTTGATCTAGGTAGGTCGGGGATTACAAGCAGCACACTGGACCTCAGAATTAGCTGGTACTGCTGGAAATCCATCACTAATCAAAGAATTCCTCTGCATTCTGCGTCTGTGAAATGCAAGGGAGTTTAAACCATCTCTGAACTATCTTCCAGCTCTTGCATTGGAACACTGAACTCAGTATTTCTAGCTGCCCCAATTCTCCTCCTTGAAACTTGGGGCTGTTTGTTATGGGAAAACTAGGTCCAAGTAGGAATCAATTAAATACACACACACATACACACACACACACACACACACACACACACACACACACCTTTGACGACTAGCAGAAGGCTGGCAGGCTAAAAAGATCAGGTGTGGGATCTGAGGGGGACTCCAGGGATAGCTCCCAGGAGACCAGGAGTGGGATCTGAGAGGGACTCCAGGGATAGCTCCCAGGAGACCAGGAGTGGGATCTGAGGGGGACTCCAGGGATAGCTCCCAGGAAACCAGGAGTGGGATCTGAGAGAGACTCCAGGGATAGCTCCCAGGAGACCAGGAGTGGATCTGAAGGGGACTCCAGGGATAGCTCCCAGGAGACCAGGAATGGGATCTGAGAGGAACTCCAGGAATAGCTCCCAGGAGACCAGGAGTGGGATCTGAGGGGGACTCCAGAGATAGCTCCCAGGAGATCTGCAATCACCATCTGGGCTTGTGTTAGTCTGTGCACTGAACTCCCTGCCTGTTCTTTATTGCTGATCACTTACCCAGCCAAATCCAGAAATCCAACAAGATGGGGAGGGCCCTGCCCTAGAACATGATGATGTCACAGAACATAGAAAACAGCTTCCCGTTCCTTTCTGACCCCACTCTTTGGCACACCTACATGTGCACAGACCTGCCTAATATGCCTGTGCACCATTACAAACACAGTGTACCACCCTGTGCACTCACAGGCCCGAGGATGGAAATGAGAACGGATGGTCCTTACTGCATGCATTGGGATCTACCTCTAGAACATGAGCTCCACCAGCACACACCTGCAACGTGTGCACCCACACCCACAACACGGAGCAGCACTAGACCACAAGGCTCTACCTTGAGCAGACTGTGAGGCCCACAAGGACAGGGCAATCTCCCCCCCTAACTCGTCTTCAGATTCCCACCATCAGGTCAAATGTCTGAGACACATCGAACAAAACCGGGAAGGGTATCCAGGTTAAGGCACGCCTCCACGAAGTCTCCAGGGAGAAATTTAGAACAAAAAAGAATTGTCTTTCCAAATTGTATATACCACTGAGCACGTAACCTTGAAGCAGAATGAGATCTGTAAGCCTTTTTGGTAAACTTCACTCCACTCCCCTGCCCCAACCATCCAGAGTTCCACACTTTGTCTCTTGCAATTTCTGTCCTCTGGGTCCCTCCTGCACCTGCTCTATCAGACATTCTTCTTCACAATCACAAAATAACCTTTCAAGGTCACCTTCAGCCTCCACGTGTCTGAACTGAAGGCCAGTGCTCACGGTCTCAAGCCCTCAGCAGCAGCCAGCACAGCTAACAGCAGACCCCTGCATTCCTGGACACCTGCCCCGACGGCACCTCCAAGCATCTCTTGCAGTTTGCCAATGGCCTCACACGCTGGACTCTTTCTGTTGCCCACTAATTTCCCAACACCCAAATGTGGTCAGGACTCCATCGGAAGCCCCTCTTCTGTAGGCCACATCCATAAACACTGACCACCGGACCTGGTTATATCATCTTTAGGCCCAGTGTTAAATGACAATGTGGATCCCTTATTCGAAAATGAAGAGCCGAGATGGGCATTTAGCCCAGCAGTGCGCAGGCTCATTAAGACGCCTGCATTCCATATCAACAGGCTTGGGTTGCACGTGCAGCTTCTTGCTGATCCAGCTCTGTGGAGGAAGCACCGATGGCTGACATGATTGGCTTCCTGCCACCCACAGCTGGATCGTATTCCTCACTCCAGGCTTTGGCACCTCCAGTCCAGGCCACCGAACCCAGCAAGCAAACCGCTAGAGGACAGCTGTCGCAAATGTGGCAGAACCTGCCTCCCCCAAGCTCTGATGTGTTACTGCTTGATGGATTACGAGTGCAGATCTGATCTAATTACGGCATCTGGAGGGGTGTGCCTGGCAGGTTGTTGGGGGTGTCTCCTTGGGGATAACTCTTATAAGAAGCTGGGTCATTGGGGGTGTCTCCTTGGGGGTACCTCTCATAAGAAGCTGGGTCATTGGGGGTGTCTCCTTGGGGGTACCTCTCATAAGAAGCTGGGTCATTGGGGGTGTCTCCTTGGGGGTACCTCTCATAAGAAGCTGGGTCATTGGGGGTGTCTCCTTGGGGGTACCTCTCATAAGAAGCTGGGTCATTGGGAGTGTCTCCTTGGGGGTACCTCTCATAAGAAGCTGGGTCATTGGGGGTGTCTCCTTGGGGGTACCTCTCATAAGAAGCTGGGTCATTGGGGGTGTCTCCTTGGGGGTACCTCTCATAAGAAGCTGGGTCATTGGGAGTGTCTCCTTGGGGGTACCTCTCATAAGAAGCTGGGTCATTGGGGGTGTCTCCTTGGGGGTACCTCTCATAAGAAGCTGGGTCATTGGGGGTGTCTCCTTGGGGGTACCTCTCATAAGAAGCTGGGTCATTGGGAGTGTCTCCTTGGGGGTACCTCTCACAAGAAGCTGGGTTATTGGGGGTGTCTCCTTGGGGGTGCCTCTCACAAGAAGCTGGGTTATTCGGATCCAAGTCCTCAGCTCACCTTGTCGATGTTCTTTTGTACCCACCATGGCCAACCTCCACTGATGCCAATCTATAATGGTACTGGATTCTGAACTGTGAACGCCAAACCGTAAGCTGAAAGCACACTTTCCTTGCCCAGGAAGCTCCTCTCGGGTGTTTCAGCAAATGTCATAAGCAGCCCTCTTAGACAAGAGCTCTGTCTTCTCTGCCTCTCAAATAAATCCGATTTTTAAATATTTTTAAGATGTCCAGGACAGCAGCGGCCCAACATGAACGCAAGCCCAAGGCTCTTGGATCAGTGAGGCCTCAGCCAACAGCAGAGCATATACCCGCGGAAGCAGCCCTGACCTTGAACCCTGGGCTGCAGGGCCCTGGCTGGGATATCCAACTCTCCACTGCACACCTCCACCAGGCTCTGCAGAAAACACCTCACCCTCAGTAAATTGAGCGCCTAGTCCCTCCCCTGTGCGCCCGCTCCTACAAAGAGAGCCCTGGGCTCCTGCAGTGTGTGGGCATGACCCTGCATGGGCATGACCCGGACGCATTCTCAGCCCGAGAAACCTGGAGCATGTGAAGTTGCCCTCGTACGCTAAAGCCCCATTTCCAGAGCGTGAGCCAAGGCCTGGGCAAATGCCTCTGGCTCTACAAAGGAGGGGTCACCCCCACCCCGGCTTCCCAGACCATCCCCCCCATCCCTCTACCCCAACCTCCAGCTGCTGCGGTTCAAGCTCCCTCCACCTTGTCCTGATACTGTCACAAGGAAGTCCCCTCCAGGTGAATGTTCAAAACTCCCAAACAGTGAACTACACCACTTGCTAAGCTCCTTTTCCCTCTAGCATTATCCAACTACAGAAATGTGAAAGTAGTATTTTTACGGCCATATTTTTCAACTCACACATACAAAACACACTTACTACCCTCTCCCCACTCCCCCCCGCGCGCACGCACACACACACACACACACACACACACACACACACACACACACACACTCCTACACCAGAAGATCTTCATACAGGCGTTTTCTGGGAGTCCTGAAATGGTTATGGAACCCGATCTCCCACTTCTGCATCATCTACGGGACTAGGTAACCCATCATGTGTCATAACCACAGAAATCCGGGGCTCGGCACGAAAACTGGCGCCTAAATATGTGCTCTGACAGAACACGGGCTTCCAAAGCGAAGAGCGGTTGGAGCTGGCACATTTGAAGCCCCTGGAAGTGGCATGGGGAGGAGGTGTAGGTAGTTCAAGTCCCAAGCGCCGGCACCTGAGTGTTTGCCTTGGGAGCTTTTCTAAGCCGAGGCTGCAGTAGCGTCGCTGCTGAGATCCAGACATCCAGAGCCCTACCTAGGGTGGCCCCCTTGGCTCCCTGTGATCCCGGCAGCAGATACCCCACGCGGCGAAGCGCGCAGCCAGCCTAGGAAAGCGAGTCGTCCTCCGCGCCCAGCCAATAGCGCCCACTGCAGCTGGCAACGCCGCGGGTCGCCAAGTCCCCGCCTCACCACCGCGCAGGGGGGCCCGGACATGCGCGTGGAGCACACACTTAGCCGCGCGCGCACTCGTCTACAGGGGTAGGGGGCAGATCGGGGGGTATCCGATCCTTGCTGGGCCACTGGGCCTTCTGGCCCGGCAGGTGCAGCGATGCCCAGTCCCCAGACACAGGGTGGCCCTCTGCATCCGCTGCTCCAGCGGCCGGGGAGGGGGAGCCGCGCGGAGGGCGAGGCGGTGTCACATAACCGCGGGCGCGCCCCGCGCCCTCCCCGCCCCGCGCCCGCCCCCAGCCCACCCTCCCCGCTCACCCACGGACGAGCCGATCCGCGTCCTCCGCGGCAGGGACATCCTAAGAGCCTTGTCCAGGCCTGCGCCGTTCAGCATCGCGCCCGCAGCGGGGGCTCGGCGGCCCGGGGCGAGCGGCGGAAGACGCGCACAAGACTAGGCGCTGGGGCCGCAGCTCCAGGGCCATGTGTGGGCCGCCGCCACGCCGCGAGGGGGACTGGCGGGGACCTCCGCGGCGGTGTCCGTCGCGCGCGTGGCTGCGCCGTCCGTGCCGCAGCAGCCAATGCGGCAGCGCCCGCGGACGCCAGCGCGCCGGGCCTGGCCGGCCGTGCTGCGGCGTGGGGGGCGGGGGCGGCCTGCGACCGGCGCCCCGCAGGAGGAGGAGCGGGCCGGGGAGGCTGGGGAGCAGCTGCAGCGGCGCTCAGGAGATGGGGGAACCTTCAAACGACAGCATCGGAGGGTTGCCTGCTGCCTGGGGGGGCCTCATCCTGGAGATGTGCACCTGCACACCCGGAGATGTGCAGGATCCTGGCCGCCCTATCTTTTCGCAGTTACGTTACTGTTCGTCCTGGCCCAGCCTGCTGAGGTCTGTGAAGAACAGATATTTTTCCAAAATAGCAGACTTGTAGCCTAGAACTCAGCGTAGGCCCCAGGTCTGCGGCCTCTGCCTCCGCGCCCATGGCCTCTCCAGAATTCTATTTGGTGTCTCCAAGTGCGAGCTGTGACTCCAGCTTCCCATTATGGACACTGGGGAGGCAGCAGGTGAGGGCTCAAGTATGTAAATCCCTGATTGGGCCTGGCCCTGTCCTGTTTGTGGTATCTGAAGAATGAACCAGAAGATCTCCACCTGTCATCTCTCTCTCTTACACCCTAGGGAGTCTTTGAAACCACCACACACACACACACTCACACACACACACACACACACACTCACACCTTCCACCACCGCAGAGTGCCTTCTCCAAGGTCACTCCATCTATTTTTGCCTCTGCAGCCTGTGCTTGGTGCTTTTCTGGGCACAGTTCCACGGAGGGATCAAAGCAGACGCTTCATCATATCTGATGCAATTCTAACCCTGAGGTTAGAGAAGAGGAACACGCAATCGGCTGCCGTTACAGCCCGAGCCAACCTTGATGGGAGCAATCATTATCTCTCAGTAAGACAGTGGGGACTGGGCAAGGAGAAGGACACGGCGGTCAGCGGAAATGTGCCTGGGGGAAGACAGGCCTGTCCCGCCAGCCGGTGCTACAGATTTTTAAAGATTTTATTTTGTTTTATTTTATTTATTTATTGGAAAGGCAGTTTTTCAGAGAGAAGGAGAGACTGAGAGAAAGAGCTTCCATCCGATGATTCACTCCCCAAGTGGCCGCGAGGGCCAGAACTAAACCAATCCGATGCCAGAAGCCAGGAGCTTTTTCTAGGTCTTCCGCAATGGGTGCAGGGTCCCAAGGCTTTCCCAAGGCTTTCCCAGGAAACAGGCAAGGAGCTGGATGGGAAACAGAGCAGGCAGGACTAGAACCACCGCCCATTTGAGATCCCGGTGGCTGCAAGGCAAGGATTTAGCTACCAGGCTACTGCACGAGGCCCAGTGCTGCAGGTTTTCACAGGACAGTCCAGACAGGATGGGCATGGAAGACGAGGCTGGCAAGGGTCTGTATTCAGTGTTAGCTTGGAGGAGGACTCTCTACCTGTCCGTCCTGAATCCTCAAACATTTGTTCAGAAACGTGGATGGCAGACATTCTGTCTGGGTACCAAGTGGATCTTAAGACTATTCAACCCAGCACTGGATTTATCAAAAACTTCCCATGCGGAGTCACTCTATATGACGATTCCTTGAGGACTAGAGCAGAATTCTGAAAGGAACAGCATACTTAAAGGAAAAAAATAAGTTTCTTTTCATCCCAACCTTTAAGACAGATATGAGACTACGGTAACCATGGAATGAGTACACAAAAGTTGTTCCCAATTCAAAAAAGAAAATAAACAAATTTTCTAAGTTTTATTTGAAAGAATGACAGAGAATTTAGAAAGAGTGAGTTCTTCTGCCCGCTGACCCACTCCACCAAGTGCCCACAGTAGCTGGGACTTGGCTAGGCTGAAGCCAAGGGGAGCCTCATCTAGGGGTACCACTTGAATGGCAGGGACCCAGGGGCCCAGGCCACCATCCGCTGCCTTCCAGGGACAACAGCAGGAAGCTGACTGGCAAAGAGGAGCAGGATCCCGGGCATTCCCCCGGGGGAGGTGGCATCCCAGCAGCAGCTGAGCCCGGAGCGCCACAATGCTGGTCCCTTCTTCAGTGCTGAAGGCAGAAGCAGGTCAGGTGCAGCACCAAACGTGTCCCGGGACTGCCGCACCTGCTCCCACGTTCTGCCGTTGTTCACGGAGCCCAGTCATGAAACGGGGCTTTTGATTTTTGTTTTTTCTTTCACGTTTATTCTCTGGTTAACAAACTGGTCCGGCAGCTTTCTCAGTGAGCTGAGCTCATTCAGTTGGCACACCTGGTAGGTCATGCGCAAGGCAGGTCAGGATTGCAAGGAGCAAGAGTCAGTATTTCATTTGAACATGTACTACACTTCCTTGTGCGCCACCGTTGATTCTCCTAAGCTGTCTGCCTCTTGGGAAGTTGGAGGGATTAGACGAACAATGGCCACAGTGTGTACCACTTTCAAGTTCCAAGGGGAAAGGCTTCCGGTTGGCAGATGACCAGCACTGATTGCTAACCTCCCAATGCCAGTCACCATCACCCAGTGACCTGTGCTTGCCTTTGATCCTTGCCAGAGGCGAGCTCGGCTAGAACCAGAGGAAAGGAAGACACGTGGGAAGAAGGAACAGCAAATAAGTTCACAATCCAGGGCAGCAGGGCTGCTCAAATGGAGCGTATGTGTCCAGCTATACGAAAGCAAGTCCAGAAGCAAAGGCAGAAGGAAGAACAGGTCCCTCAAGGGAGGGTCCCAATAGGGCACGGGCCAAAACTGCACTTCACTAAGCCACGGCAGCCCTTTTCCTGCAGGAGCTAAAGTGGAGCTGACAGGGTGGAAGTCACCTGTCTCCACCTTATCCAGTGAGAGAGGCGAGTCTCCCAGGAACGCTGCATCTTCCAGGGCTGTGGCTGCACAGAAACGCTCCCCAAGACTGGCAAAGAGTGAGGCTGCAGAGCCACTGGTGCCAATCCACACCAGGGTCCATGACCAGGGTTTACAAATAGTGCTTCTCATGGCCACCTTAAACTTCTGTCACTTTTTTAAAGATTCATTTATTTTTATTGCAAAGTCAGATATACAGAGAGCAGGAGAGATTCACTCCCCATGTGGCCACAACTACCAGAGCTGCACCAATCCGAAGCCAGGAGCCAGGAACTTCTTCCAGGTCTCCCACGCGGGTGCAGGGTCCCAAGGATTCGGGCCGTCCTCAACTGCTTTCCCAGGCCACAAGCAGGGAGCTGGATGGGAAGTGGAGCAGCTGGGATTAGAATTGGTGCCCATATGGGATCCCAGGCACGTTCAAGGCGAGGACTTTAGCTGCCAGGCCACCACACTAAACTTCTGTCTTACCATAAGCCACATTCTCCCTGGTTCAGTCTTCATGGCCCTAGCTGCTGGCTTTCCCAAGAAGTTCTTTCATACAAATCATGGCTTTCTGTCTTCTTGTCAAAAATTAGTTGGCTGGGCCCAGCGCAGTAGCCTAGCAGCTTACACACACTGGGATCATATGGGTGGCTGGTTCTAATCCCGGTGGCCTCACTTCCCACCCAGCTTTCTGTTTGTGGAAAGCAGTTGAAGATGACCCAAAGCCTTGGGACCCTGCACCCATGTGGGAGATCACGAAGAAGCTCCTGGCTCCTGGCTTCAGATCAGCTCAGCTGCAGCCATTGCAGTCACCTGGGGAGTGAATGAATGCACAGAAGATCTTCCTCCCTGTCTCTCCTCCTCTCTGTATATCTGACTTTCCAATAAAATAAGCACATCTTTTTTTAAAAATTAGTTGGCTGAACATGTGAGGGTTCACATCTGGGGTTTCTATTCTGTTTCAAAGATCCTCAGAACTCTGTTTTTATAGCAATACAAGACATGCAGAAGTAAGAAACAAGACCCCCACCTTTCACCTCACCCAAAAATCAGCTCTAAATGGATCAGTAACCTAAATCTGCACCCAGAAACCATCAAACTATTAGAAGAAAACTTCGAAAGCACTCTACAAGATATGGGCACAGTATAAAAGTCACAAGAACACAGGCAGTAACAGCCAAAATTTAAGAAAAAAAAATGGCACTACATCAAACTAAGAAGCTTCTGCACAGCAAAGGAAACAAACCAACAAAGTGAACAGGCAGCCAGCAGCATGGGAGAAGATCATTGCACGCGACACAGCATATAGGGGACTGATACCTTGGACTTACAGAGAGCGTCAAAGCCTCAACAACAACAAAACAAGCAATCCTGATAAGAAACGGGCAAAGGAAATGAGCAGACATTTTCCAAAAGAACAAATGAAAATGGCTAACAAACATAGGAAAAAATGCTCAGGCTCCCTAGATAGTACGGAATACAAATAAAAACCACACTGAGAGCCTGGCACAATAACCTAGTGGCTAGAGTGCTCACCTTGCATGTGCCAGGATCCCATGTGAGTGCCAATTTGTGTCCTGGCTGCCCTACTTCCCATCCAGCTCTCTGCTTGTGGCCTGGGAGAGTGGTCGAGAGAGTGACCCAAAGCCTTGGGACCCTGCACCTGCGTGGGAGACCCGGGAGAGACTCCTGGCTGCTGGCTGCTGGCTTCCGATTGGCTCAGCTCCAGCCATTGCAGCCATTTGGGGAGTAAACCAGGAGATGGAAGATCGTGCTCTCTGTCTCTCCCTCTCTCTGTAGATCTGACTTTTCAATAAAAATAAGTAAATGTTAAAACACACACACACACACACACACACACACATTGAGGTTCCACTTAACTCCAGTGAGAATGGCCTACATACAGAAATCTAACACCTGCTGGTGTGGATGTGTGAAAAAATGTACCATGCTCTGCTGCAGATGGGAGGGGAGGCGAGTGCAGCCGCTGTGGAGGTCGGAAGGGAGGGTGCTGCACTTCTGATCTAGCTGCTTGCCTGCTGAAGCAGTGGAGGAAGGCTCAAGGCCTTGGGCCCTCGCACCCAAAAGAAGCTCCCGACTTCCGGCTTCACGCCAGCCCAGCTGTGGTCATCACGACCGTTTGGAGAGTCGGTCAGTGGGTGGAAGATCTCTCCCACTCAGTGTCTGTAACTTTGCCTTTCAAATCAACTTACACATCATCACGAGCGTATAGCAATCATCCATGTCCCCACTCCCTAGCTTGGGAAAC